AGCAAACACTATACCATTTATTTACGGAAATTTTGTCGTGTTTTGTTGTTGTTAATTTTACTTTATCTACCAAATAAATTCTATAATTTTACACGTTTCATGTAATTATAATACATAAAACAAAAGTAATATTTTATTTTTTTGAAGTAATTTGGAAAATGACGGAAAATATATTAAATTATTTTATTGTTATTATCCACTAGGGAAAATAATATATTTTTTGTGCGTGTAGAAATGGACTATTATCGATCTATTTATTTGTATTAATTTATATACTTATGTCGATACAAAGAAACAAATAAAATATCGATATGTGGTTTTGTCGTAAGTTGAAGAAAGAACATAAATCTAAATTATTTTTCTCCACTATTGAGCTAAAACCTTTTTAAGAGTTTTTTTTTTCAAGAAAAACCTTTTTAAGAGTTTTTGAGGCAAACATAAAGTTTTACGTGGATAGTTCCAAAATCTTTGGGCGTGTAGTGACAACTCTCTCCCTCTCTATATGACCGAAAGTGGATATCTAGGTTTCTCAAAGTGTTCCTCGTTCACATTTTCTTACATATATTATTTTAAAGTTCACATTTTCTTACATTTCACCTTTTCTTTCATACTACGATGAGTTAAATATATAATTCATAATTCCAAAAAAATTATAGTAATTATTTTCATGAGTTTCCCTTTTTTTTTTTGAGAAAATACAGACCAACGCTCTATACTTTTCCGTTTTGCATCGATGAAGACCGTTGCATGTGGATCTCTAAGGCGTCATTGAAAAATTTATTCTGTTTTTATATATAGTTAATGATATTCAAATATTGTCCATACAAAATCATAAAATTTCTACAATTTGCACTAGATGACTAGTTTTTAAAAATAATTTAATTTAAAATATTTGTTTGTGTTGCTTGTGTCCACATTGTTGATCTTCTTTAATTTTCCTTCGTTTCTATCAAACGTATTACAATTTATCTGGACCTAACAGATTCACATCAGATAATGATTCAACCTAAACAACACTCGATATCGATTTTGATAAGATTTTATTAGATTTTTTCTCAAAAACTTAATCCTCCATGATGATGATCTGATCATACCTTTACTTTTCATAGTTAATTCAAAGTTTAGATGTTAACTTAATTCTCCAATCAGCTATATTGGTTGCGTACTGGCCAAGTGACCAGTGACCATATCTTTCCTGTTAAACTGGTGGCTAGTGTCAATCGACAACTCAGCCATTACATCGGACAGATCAGCAAAAAACTTTGTAACCAATAAGATATAAACACGTGTAATCATACACACTCGTCGATCATCTCATGATCCAACGACCAGAACAATTCCGACTCTTGAGGTGATCGAAAGTCACTTTTTAAATAATTTGTCTTAGTACGAATATTAATTTTTTTTTTTATCTCTAATCATTTATTCTCCATACACGTGGTTTATATATTCCGGGCCCCAAACCTTCGAATTGAAAAAAATATTTGACCAAATAAACCAAAATATTCTTAAGTATCTTAACCTTAAGTGTATACAATGGTTATTTTAATAAATGTTATAGTTTTGTTTCTCATAAATAATTTTAAAAAGTGTTTACAAGAAACAATGTTTCAGTATAGTTTTCTTTTTTTTTATAAATCAAGGAAGTTCTAAATTTTTGGTCTACAACCTTTTCATACGTGTATTTTTATCATATCAACAACTAATTAACCCACATCTCTCAAAGAAACTATAAATAAATAAATAAATAATTGCTTTGCCAACAAAAAAACAAAACAAATAAATGATGTGTTGTACATAAATTTGACCAGAAATGGGGGCCCTCGTGTAGAGGAACATCCACGTGGCAACTTCGAAAACCATGTGATCCATTTGTTGAGTCCTTATTTGACGACGATCTTCTTGATTTTGGGGCCCACTTGTTTAACAGATCTAATCCAACTGGCTGGTCTCATGAATCAGACACGTATCTCGTCATGTTTCATGTGAGTTTTG